GTTAGTTTTCTGGCAGTTAACCCAGGGCCAGGTCTTGATGTCTAGACGCTTTGATTCTGGTGAAAATCCAGGTAGAACCTGAAACTTTCAGTCGAAGGCCTGTAAGGTTTCTGACCTCTCCCGTCTGCAGACATGAAACCAAGTGAACCAGGGGAGGCCTGGACACTTGGGTGGGCGGATGGCCAAGTGAGCAGGGAGGCGTTACCCTCTTGCCTGTGCAGGTAGCCAGTTCGCACCCATGAGGATGGGCTTAGGCAAGCCAAAATACCATTGCGTTTAGGCCAGGAGCAAATCGATTTGCTCCTCAAAAGAGCACGGCCCACATGGTTGTTTGCAGTGACTTGTTGCTGGGGACCAGGGGACTGCCTCTGACTAAACCGGGCAGCTAACCTGCAGTGAAAATACTTTGGCTGCCAAATGTTGCTGTCAGACTTGAGGGGTTTCCCAGGCTGAGCTCCGCAGAGCCAGCGGGGCTGGGACTGTGGTGGTGATACTGTCCTGAAGGCTTAAAGGCATCTGTTGCCCTTAGGAAGGCTGGCGCACTGCCAGACCTCGGGGAATAGGCTCTCCGATGCCAGCATGCCCGTAGGGAGGTTCCCTCACTGAAACGTACACAGTTCAAAGAGGTCCTTCAGCTGAATTTCCTCTCGGCTGTAAAATAAAGTGCTGTGGTTCTAGCAAATCCCTGGGCACTGACCAGAGTCGTCATGTCCCTAGCTGGGGACTGGCATTCTGCTGCTCGCCTCTTGAAACTGGTTCGTGTGGGTCTTCTGCTGCTTCCCGCAGACACCTGCTTGACCTCTGGGCTCTCGGGATCCGAGGGAATAGTTTCAGGCCTGCCTGCAAATTTGGCTGATCCGTGGTGATGCCACAGGGGTTTCCCAGGGGACTTTACGTGCCCTGTCAATGGTGACCATGGAAGCGAGCGCAGCTGTCCACCGATCACGCTCGGCCTGCGTGCTGGAATCGTCCTCGGCTTGTCTAGCAGCGGCGTTGCACGAGGACGTGCATCTGTGCTTGGGCAGAGACGGGCACGGGGCATCGCGGCACCGCGGGGATGAAAGGAAGGGGGCAGGCAGGACTGCTGACACCTCGGTACTGGCTCAGGGATTGCAATGGTCCATCGGGGGCTGTGTTTAATCCCTCTTATTACTCTTTTATTCCTTATGGGACACGTGCTCGTTTTCTCCCCAGCCTTGTCTGTTCTTTGGAGTCAGAGCAGGATTAAGGATCAGCCTACGCAGCTCCAGGGCAGAAAGCAGCTCCCAGGGGAGCCATGGGAGGAGGTGGATGTGCCTCAGAGCTAAGGTATGCTCTTGAAATGTTCAGGGCACCACGTCTCTCTCTTGAAGGAGCGCTCTGCTCGAACGCTGCGGGGGTGGAGGCTCTTGTGAGCCGGGGGCACCGCTTCCATTCTCCCGGTCTCGGGAAGATGGAGCATCCCGCGTGACGTCCAAGTTTATTGATCCTCGGGAAGGAGAAAGGAATCGTGTCTGCCTACGTTGTACTCCAAGGGTGAATACTTGAGGGCTTGCCCCCCTTGAGGCCTCTTCACATCATGAGCCTGACCCAGGCCTGGAAAACTTCTGAAAATGTCCCTGACCACACTGGGCTGATGCGGTCCAGGTCTTGCCGCTGAAGTCAGTCGAATGGCAGTAGGGGTGCACGTAGCCCAGTGGGATTTAGACACCACTTTCTGTGGCCTAAAGATTCAGATGTGGTGAGACGTTTGGAGACCTCTGTAGGTTTTTTGTTTGTGTTTTGGACCCCCAAATTAAGATCCGGCCTCTTTTCAGGGAAGAAATGCTCCGGACATCCTGAGAACCTGGCTCCGTTTTTTTTTGTTTTTTTTTTTAAAGTCATCCCCAATCAGGCACCCAGCATCAGTATCCAAGCCTGTTCCCTTGCTTTCACACACTCGCGTGATAGTTGACTTTGCAGCTGGGACGTGAATTTTTTTTCTACTTCGCCCCCGCAAACAGGCAGTTAAGTCATCAGCTACTCATCCCCCTTCTCAGTTCCCCTTCTGAACCTCAACTCCTTTCCTTCCGCTGCCCCGCAGCCCACATGCCTTGGGCTTCATCCTGAGAGGCCAGCAGGCACCCTTGAAATCTGACTAAATCTGTGACTAACAGGCGGTTGGCCTGACTTCTCCAGAGGACCGTTGCACATAGACTGGTGTGTGGCTCTTGCACTGGTGTGGCTAAGTGAGGAGCGGTGTCATGCTGTCAATGGCGATTGCAAAATGTTTTCTTTTGTGGTCGGGTCTAGGGGCTGTGAATGGTGAGTTAAGTTCCAGATTTGTTGAAAATCTGGTGTGCAAGTGTGCGCGGCTAGAATTGAAATCTGTAGTTTGGCAGGCGCTGGCCTGTTGCATTCTGCCTGCAAATATAAGGGAGGTACCTGGGGGTTTGAAGCAGCTATCATAAGTTGGTGGAAAGGCACGGTGCTCCCCAAGCTACTTGCAGATAAGCTTCCTTGTTCAGACATCCCTAGACCGTCCCACTTGGCTTCCAACCTAGAGGCCTCTCTCCCCTATCATCCTCAGCTGGTGGCCAATGTCTACGTGTCTCCATATCGGTAGTATAACTAGAACACCCCGGTGAGTTAAGGCAAGAGGAAATGAAAATATGGAAAGTAAAGGGGAAAGAGAGAGGGGGGGGAAAAAAAAAAAGGTGAACCTGCTGAATTGTTTTCTCCAAGTAGCTGTGGTCAGGGAGAATGACCAGGAGCATTGGGGAAACCAGAAGTCGCTGCTAGGTCTGAGTAGTCCCGGTGGCTGATCTCGGCCAATCTCTACTCTGATCAGAGCGGGGAAGTTTTCCTGGGTTTCGTGTAATGTGTTTAAAATGACCTATATGCCCGAGAGGAGTTAGGGGCGAGAGGGGGAATTTTATGTGGAGGTCTCAAAAATAATGGAGGGTTTCAAAGTGGGGGCTGGGGTGGGGGGAATTTTAAACATTGGTAAAGTCCCTTCTGCAAATGCTGGTAAATGCTGTGCTCTCTGAAAAATGAGGACGTCAATGGAAATGTCACTTGCCCTCTGACACGATGTGTTGTGGGCACTCTTCACTGAAATGCAGAGGAAGGGGATGTTAGCTTTGCTTCCAGCGTAAGCTGCAGTGCAGCCTGAACTGTGACACTCGCTATCCACCACGTGCGTGTAGTGTCATCTTCCACTTCCATTGAAACTCTAAAGCAGATTAGAAAATAGGGTGTTCGTTTCCCAGTAGAGAACTTACTGTCAGTCTTGGATTTTTTTTCTTTAAATAATCTTTTGGTTTTCAGCAGTTGAAACTTCCCCCATGTGCTTGATTTCTGGATGAAAATTCACAGAAGCTTGCAGACTTTTCATTGTGTCTGCAATGAAGCCTTGGCTAGCCCTAACCCCCAGCACGTGGGGCTCCTAGCAGAAACAGAGTGTATGACAAGCACCGTGTCTCAGACCTAACTTCGGCTCAGTCGAGACCAGCAGGCATGTCCGCTCACCCTGTGCACCCTTGGACTTGATCAAACTATATTAATTTTCCCACCGGCCTCCAGCATCATTCTTCTTTTTCTATGATGCCCACCTCAAGCCAGGGAGGCCCCGGTTGATGTGATGGGGCACAGCTTTGTTTCTAACCTGTCCTTTGCTCTTTGCAGCTGTGGTGCTGCCTCTTCACCCTTGGGAGTGTGCCTTGCTGCAGTATTGCTCTGACTTGTAAGACCCGTCCTAATGGCTCACCCAAACTTCTCCTGTCTCACCTGCAAGCATTACTGTTTGTCCGGCCTCTTCAGAGACCTGAATATTCCCATCTTTCACTTAGTTTGTTACCTTGACAGTATTTATAGACTCTGATCATGTCTGTGTGTCTCTGTCCTGCAGTCTCATCTCCTTCCTGGGGCGCGTGACCAGTGTAAGTGCATAAATATTCCAGATCTCAGGTTTGCAGACTGTGCTCTCCTTGGCAGTGTGCTCTGTGTTATAAATGGGGCTTTCCGCTGTGAGCTTTGGTTCTGGATTTTTATCTGTTCAGTAGCTTAGTGTTGAGCAAATTAGGGCTCCTTCCTTCTGGGAGTTGAACTATATTCCTCATTGGATGTGTGGGCATTGTGTGTGGTTTCTTTCAAACTGGAGGCTTAAAATATTTTTTTTTTTCTTGAACTTATATCAAGTCACTTCTTCCAAGGGGCAAACTCCCCAGGCACCAGTTGAAGGGGGAGAGGAATCCTAATGAGATCCTTCAGTGCGACTAAGATCTAATAGTGCAAAACCCATGCATGTCAGGACATATGCAAATAAATCAAGCTCTCGAGTATTAATTCTGCAGGGCTTTATCTAGGTTTCCCATAAAATGGGAACCTCCAATATCAGCTCGCTCTAAGAGGCTGGAGGTAGGACGGTTCTGCGGGGGTGGGCAAATGGGACTCCCCCAAACGCAAAGAAACCTGCATTGTGCAAGGGGCTGCTATGGAGAAGGAAGGCTTGTGTCTGGGAAGGCTTGATTTCTAGTCGGCCTGTGGAATTGTACCTGTTGGGGGAAGGAAGAGGAAACCCTTGTTTGTCGAGATGAATTGCGTGTGGGGAAGGGGTCTTCATCATTTCAGGGACTTTGGTCATATTTTTATAAGGAAGGGGGAAACCCAGGTCCCATCAAGTCATATGGGCCAGTGCAGGACTGGCCCCTGTCGTATCTCGGCTCCCCGAGGAGACTGCCTCTGCTCAAAATCCTTCTCTACGCGTCCAGCGAGGGGGTAGCGCAGGGCAGGTCTGTGCTCCTTGAGTTCGCAGATCGGAGAGGAATCCATTTGCTTCCTTTTCAAATAGAAATTCTAAAAACGAAGCCCCGTGGAGACTGTAAGTGGCTCCCCTTGTCCCTGTCCTAGCGCTGCTCCCCAAATTGCCCCTGCCGTCAGAGGCTGGTGGGGGTGGGGAGATGACCTTGGCAATCCCTCCCTCTTGCCCTTGAGGTTCTGAACACCAGCAGTTCTTAAGCTGCCTTTCCCCCTGCACGCACGCCTGCACACCCCACGAGGTTGTATTCCCCTTTAAAAGTCCCAGCACATGCTAATATGCAGAGCTCCTGCAGGCTGTGTTGCGGCACTGGGGAACTCTGCTGAGCTGTGCAGTTTGAGCTGCCAGAGATCCCGAACAATGTCATTGTGTTCAGAAGGCACTGCAGCACTCAACTTTCACCGGCGAGCTCCTCGCTCTCCGGCGCGCCAGCGTTTCCAGGGCACAAGGCAAGGAGCAAAGCAAGTAAGTGCTGCAGTCCCTCCATTAAATTCCTTCTTCCCCGAACCTTGGGATGCAGGCTTAGCTGATGCAGGGCTTAAGCTTTCCAATTCCTGCGGAAGTCGGGGCTTGTCTCTGTGGGCTCTGGGCATGGATGCATCGGGCATTGGCTCCAGCAGCAAATTTGTTCCTGCGAACTTCAGTCCACTGTCACCAGCCAACCCCAAAGGAATCCTAATTCTCTCCACCGTGGCCGGTAAGACAAGAGTGCGCAGAAGGCGGTAATTTCAGTGCATCACCATTTGAGTTTTCTCTCCCCAGGTGCACACAAGTGCTGTGGATGACACCTCTGCAAAAGTGTAAAGGCTTCCCTCCCACCCCAGTCCAATCTCTTACTACCAGTACAGCCCATTGACGAGCCATCTGGTTAGCTAGGGCTGGTTCTGTGCGTCGTGCGTGCATGCCGGGAGCTCAGGGGTGAAGCAGCCCTTGCTGCAGGAAGGGTTGGCGTCAGAATAAGTTAAGGTGATTCCTGCAGACACTGAACTTTGCGGGGGGGGGGGGGG